GAGGAATAACACGGAGCCAACGGTTTCAACAACAAGAAACTACATTTAATTGGACATGGACAAGACAATTAACATTGCTACCGGCGCTGCCGGAGTCCAAGCAGCGACTCTCCGTGCGCCGCCTCTGATCATCCTTATCAAGGCGGCGCATCCGATGTGCGCGTGGCTGGCGTGACGTCGCCGCCACGCGGGAAAAGTTCGGCTTGAGCCTCGCAGTCGGGCAACTTGGCTTGGGAGCCGCCAGGGTGCCCACAATTTCCATACTCTAATTTAACTACAGAAACAAAAACAACAAAAAAAAATCATCCAGTTCTTGCTCACTATGTTCACCACTGACAAGATAGTCGGTAGTCGACGAGTTTCCGTGCAAAGCCGATCAAAACGAGGCACCAGATCAACTTTTACGGCTGCCATCAGGAAAGATCTGGCTTGTCGCGTCCCCTCAACGTCACTCCGAATATTGTTTGTGCCCCGCGCACCATCCTCTTGTAGCAATATTGTTATTGTCCCCATGTGATTTCTTTTTTATGTTCTTACTGGTGTTTGATCATAATTCGGTCATTGAAATAGTTTTTGCTGCCGACCCTACCATTATTTTGACCCTGTTGCAGCAAAGGAATATTATGCCGGCATTACACACGAAATAAGAATGTAGACACTCCGTCCCATATCTCAAATTACATCACAATGTGTTTACACAACTGTAGTGCAGAGGTACGATGAGCAGGGTCTGAGAAAATATTAGTTTCAGTATTTTCAAAAGAGCGACGAAACAAAATAAAGAAAGGACCGCCAATCGGCAGCGCGTGCAAGCAGAGGCAGTAGTGACAGGAAGCGCGAGGTGTGTCTTTCGTACGGCCGGCATCAACTCACGCACTGTCCGAAGATGTACTCTGTTTTACTCGTAGGATTGCAACGCTGCGGAATGTAGGCGTGTGACTTCAGAAAGCGCGTCCTACCATTTCTGCGCGCGAGTGCTCCTGCAACCCAAGCATTGTATACAGTTACGTCCTCGCGCCCGTGCCTTGGCCAGCCCCGTACACAACTTATGCAGTATCGAAAAGGCATAGTTCAAAATTGACGGTCCCACTTTTCCATACCGCTTCAAAACCCCCATCTCGCTCAAATTACTTGGCAGCCGGACAATTTTGGCAGGGGGCCTCAAGTTGGGGATTATCCGGTACATTGTCCTCCCAACAATGAACGTGGGCGCGACGCGCCAGAGGGTGAACACGTGAAAGGAGGGGCGTAAGAGTGGAGAAGGAAACTCAAGGTCGCAAGCGACGGGAAAAAGGGTTTCGAAATTGGCGCGCAGGTTTTGCAGCATTTGCTCATACGGAGAGCCAACGCCGCCCTGGTGGTTCAACTAATGTTTTGTTCAAGATGGCCGCCGTGGTACCGCAGCCTTAAAGGGATACTACAACGAAATTTCGGTGCTCATTTTTTTGGTCTATATGTGTTCAAAAGAGCACTATCACATGGAACATACCAATATTTTGTTAGAAAAGTCTCGAAAAGGAATTTTAAAACGAATTAAACGATTAACAAAGAGCACCTGGTGGATGTCGCTAACGCCTCGTTTGTAATGCTCGTCTAGGAACCTTGACAGCTAGTGACGGAGGTTGTCTCGTCTCCGGCCACGACGAGAGAAGGGGGGAAGGAGGAACTCCCCTCTTCCCGAGAATCCCTTTTGTGTGTCGCAGAAGTCGCTATTGTCCCCCTAGAAGATTATAGAAGATTAACCCGTCACTCGAAATTCGTACAAAAGCAGCCGCTTCGGTGGCTGGAACCACTAGGCCATCCTCTCGACGTCAGCCTCGCCGTAGCTTTGCTCGTCTTGAGACGACCTACGTCACGATTGCGTTGGATGTCACGTGCTCTAAGCTGGGCCTTCTCCGAGCGCTTGCCAGAGTGGGCCGTTTATAACGAAAAATACAGCCACCAGGATCAAAATACAAACGTGCGATTGTCATTTACGGATACTGTGGATCATATTCAACCTATTTTTGAACACGACGGGAATATTTCAAATTTCGTTGAAGTATCCCTTTAAGTCCGGTCTTTGCGACGCAGCATTCCGAGTTTGTCAACGGCTAATGCGTCATCCATCAAACCACGTGATAACGCTTCTGCCGTTACCCGCGCACAGAGAGCGGATTCAAGTCCGGCGAGTACGCACCGTCACCGCTCCTTCAGCTTAGGGGGAGAGAAACAAAAGAGAGAAGGAGTACAAAGCAAGCTGGCCAGAACGGGGGTGGGGTGCGCTTACAAAGGCTAATCTTCAGGGGCATCTCAACAATGAACGGAGCGAGAGAATTTGTCACTTCTACCCAAGGTTGATAGTGCAGTAGATGTTATACGTGACCTTGGGCTTTAGGCAGGTTCCGTGCTCTGCCTTATCACCAGCTTCGAGACAGTAGTCACGTGACCCTAACCGGAGACACGATTGGCCTTAAACACGCATAGCGTCTACCCTGCTGTCAACACCGATTTAACAGGACAGCTCTTCGAAGGTCAGCTTTCGAACTTCTCAAGAAACTGTCCAGTCCAAAAGTGGTTTTAAACGGGGCAAATTTTACGTCGTATAAACCACATTATAATTTAGAATGAAGAACTAAGCGCGACTATTTCTTGCGCACGGTGTACACAAATATATCTATAAATATATAAATATATTTTTATCAATAAATTTAAAACTGTTTGTACACTGTTAGCTTCGCGTTTTTAAACTTCAAATTTTTTTACGAACGAGTTACACAAAAAGACACCCCGAATAGCACATCGTCCGACTTTCAACACACGATGAATCACCGACGCTCGCAGTCAGAAGGTTGCGATGCTGCGCGAACGGTTTCTGAAAGATGCTGCGTACGGTACGCCAGGCGCAACGGCTTCGCGACCGTTCGAAGGGCAAATGATTTGCGACAACAAAGTAGCATCTTGCAGCTTCAGTAAGCTAACGGGGCTCGAGAGTCCCACGCTCACATTTCCGCAGAGCGAGCGCCGCCGGCCAGATCGAGGCGCAGTATGCTCTCGCGTCGCGATTGCTACGTCGTTGCTCTGCCTACACTGATGACATGTGCACTGGCAGTCGAAGCAACCCTCTCGAGACTTCACTCGAGTTTAATATATCACTTTATGGAGGGATAGACTCTCGTAAAACTAAAAGTAGAAGTCACTTCGGTTGCGGCGTAAGCGGCGGATTTATGTTTGTTGACACCTGCGTCGACAATGACTAAATATGCACAGAAACATTAAATATAAAAAATAGAGCACGCACAAAGAAATACAAACATGGCAGGGGCACGGACAAAGAAAAGACGTTAACGCTACGTATACGTACAAAATACATTGGAAAAGACAAAAATACTTAAATATAAAAAAACGGAATTAAGTTGTCAACGCCGAGGTAAGGCAATGCGAAGGGAGAGCAGTCGTCAAAAAACTGCAATAGTCCTATAGGCAGCTAATGACGTATTTGTGATCGCGGTTATAAAGCGCCGGCGACGTACGCCCCATGAAGTTGGCTAAATAAAATTCTCGCCCGAGGGAGCTCCATGAATGACTCTTTTCCTATTTCCTACCTCTGCAATGCAAAAAAGAGGGTCGCGGGTCCATAGGCTAGGCGACACAAATATCGATAAGCCATTGGCTACGGCGGTACAATATTGACCAGCATATACCAAGACATCAGCAATATTGGAAAACTCTTGGCTTTGACAGATTAATATTACCAAGCTTAAGCCAGCGTATATTCAATATCGGAAAACCATTGGCTCTGACAGTCCAATATTGTACAGGTTATGCCGGCGTATATCCAATATAGGAAAGCTATTGGCTTAGACAGTCCAATATTGGACAGCTTATGCCGGCGTATAGCCAATATCAGAAAGCTAGTGGCTCCGACAGTCCAATATTGGACAACTTATGCCAGCATATATCCAATATTGGAAAGCTATTGGCTTTGACAGTCCAATGTTGACCAGCCTATGCCAACGTATCACCAATATGGGAAAACCATTGGCTTTGATAGTCCATTATTGTCCAATGTGTTTCCAATATTGGGAAACATATGGCTCAGTTGGGCCATTCTTGGGCCATTCTTTGCCACCTCAAATCCAATGTTGGCCCAATACTGTGTGCTGCCTGAGATGGGCATGTTGTCATAAACAGCTTCAGCTTGTGGGACTGAACTTTACCTTCGATTATGTTCTATTATACATTTTCTATATTTGCAGTGCGAAGCTTGCCAGGGGCGCTGTTGTTTTCCTCACTATGGTTAATGTACGTGCCACAAATGCAGTTTATGTGTTCATTGTCATAGTGCATAGAGGCCAGACATTGCACGTGCTTGCACGAGTAAAAGTTAAAGTATCCTCACTATTCGTGGTGATTCCTAAACTTCGCTCCTTGAATACAAAATAGGTAATGTTCTCTGACCTTTCATGTCCAAAAGGTGGTGGTGGTCGTGGGGCTCCCTGGAGTCCTTTTTCAACATCTGACTCATCCGATGAGAATGCTGCGCTTACCACGACCCTTCTCCATGACGTAATCCAACATAACTCAGACACAACAGAATCCAACCTAAGCTACTCACAACATAATCCAATCTATGCAACTGGATGGCAACTATTCTCGTTCTGACTTTATGCTAGTGCATTTGCATCTTACAAAAAGGAGTCAGTGCTTTATATGGCAGTGGAAGCCATAACCTTCAGATTTCACATGAATATTTATCATAACCGAAAACACTTTCTGTGTCTTTGGTGTGTCTGTAGGTATTATTTATTTGAATTTCAAGTTCAGATAACTGGCAATATTGCATAAATTAAACTCCAATAAATTTGAAACGTTTTATCACTGAAACTTTACTGGCAGCAAACTGTGATAAGTGCCAAATTTGCAATAAAAAATAAGCTCAGAAAACTTGGAGTCTTAGGCAAAACATATTAATGTATAATGTTGCCAAAGTTCTAACAGCTCACATAAAAATTGAGAACCTTGGTCAGTTGATGTTGCAACATTATAAGTATCCTCCGCTTTCCTTAGTTTCGATCTTGCTTTCTGGAAAGTATCTAAAAAAAGATAAGCAGACAATGAAATAGCATATTTCACAACCGAAGACAGTCAAAATCCAAAGTAGAGATGGCATATGTATATAGGGTTGCTCAAAGATCAAATGAAGCATTCATCTAAGGAAAAGATTTGCTTACTAGAATGAAGCATTCGCCTAAGAAAAAGATTAGCTTGTTTAATTTCCTCCTACAAGAAAGGTGTAGGCAGTTAAAAGTGTTCATAGCACATTGATTACCTCATATTAGGAAAAATCAGGTACATGTGGGCTCGACTCTACTTCGAGACGGCAAGACCGCTCAAAAAAACCTAGAGCAGCACAGACGCCTAGAACTATCGAAATTATATTAGCTCCCAAGGGGTCTTATTTTATGTAATGGGCTTCAGTTTATGTTAGGAGTACCCACTGATATCTTTGTGGTTGTGGATTGAGAATAGTAGTCACTAGAAATGTAACATCAGATTTATGACCACGGTAGTTAGCCAAATTCCCCTACATTTTCTGACTTCGGTAGACACTCGGCTAAAAAGCATAAAAAAAACAGAAAACATGTTGGCTTGCCTACCTTCCTTGCTCAGGATCACAATGCTGTGCCTTGTGTATGTCGAATCTGGGGACTCTGAGTTTCACGGCTTTGATGGCTCTTGATGCCCTAAACTTCGACAGCCAGAGGCACTCATTTCCATTGAGCCAATTCGACGGGACAATGTCAACACTGCTATCACTCAAGAAACAAACAACTGCAAGCATATTGTCTGAAATGATGGAACAACACGGTCATACAGTCGCAAAATGAAAAAGGAAACCAAATGTTAAAGGGCAACTCCGCTTACTTTTTATGATCTTTAATTTGCCTTAAAATTGGTTAAATACACTAATAAACAGAGAAGAACCAGACACCAAAATATTTTCACAAAATAAAATTCTTTCACTAGGTTAATAAATTTTCAAATCTGGAGTTCACCGCGAATGTACGTGACGTCACTTTTTCCCTGTTTGGGCTATTGTGGGACGTCGAACTTGTTTCTGACTGGTCACGAAAAGTTTAATGGTACGAACCGAACGCTGTGAAAGTTAACTTGGGCCCTCACTCAGCAGAGCGGAAAAAAAGTGCGATATCTGGTTTTTGAACTTTCTGCACGATCTGCAAGCGTGCATGCACGTGACGTCGTGCCCTGAAAAGGGCGGTAAAATGTGAATGTTGGTTTTGGCATCGCCGTTTTCTCAATAACTAATCTGAATTTAGAGATGGAAACTAGTTTGTCGGGAAGAGCAACGTTGGGGCATTCAGGAAATGTAGTTCGTTTGGGTAGCTCAAAAAGTAAGCGAAGTTGCCCTTTAAAGCATCGGGTAAAATTTAATTTAGACAAACTAGACAGAATGAAGCAACGGGATTACCAAGTACTCATTGCACAACCCTACGTTTCTTACAACACACACTTGGCCTGCACACTAGACAATGGCCACACTTTACAAGAGGACAAGGTGGACACAGTAAAAATGCCCAAATCACTGGACTTGCAAGGGGAGGTGAAAAAGTCGCGGGATGTCATGAATTGTCTCCCGAGGAGTACTTTCGATCCTACTTTGTCGAAACAAAAGTCAGAAACAAGGACGATACTCGAGTCAAAAAGAATACAGCAGTTATCCCCAACGGTTGATTTGAGCAACAAATTGGGGGAAGACAGAATCGTGAAACTGCGGCCCTTCACACGAGCTTGGCAGCTGCCCTCCCATATGCATTTGCTTGTAAGCCACTTGAGGTTGGGCATCTTTCTGGAAAGCATAGAGCTTCCTGCTAGTCTTAAGCTCACGTATTCTGTTGTGCAACTGCTCAAGGGGCCGCGTAGAGCTTCGAACGAGGCGTTTAAGCTGGAACATGAAGCTCTCAGCTGGGAACGCACTGAAATTATCGAGTGCCCCATAGTTCACAACATCATCAGCCAAATGCACTAGTCCGTGAGCATTATACGACACCTTTCCACGGCCGTACAATGATTTGAAGGAGTGTACAAAGAAACAAAGAAGCTCCTTGGCATAATTGTTGTATGTGGTGCACATGCTCGGGTTTCCAAGAATCCTGATTGCAACATGGAGCGCAAGAAAATGCTCATATCTCTCTTGGTCTAGGACACCTTTTAGCACTACTGGACCCAAGTACAGCAGGAAGCAACGATGTTAGTTGCTTTCCAGAAGCCTAGGTCCTTCAAAGGCCGAGGCAAACGTGCAAACTCTGTGCAACAGAACTGTTTAAGGTCAAGCAGCCGCTGTGACACTTCATTCACTCTCACTGAGGGCAGGCGGTAGGACTTGCTTCCTTTCATCCAGAGAAGCAGCAACTTTTTGGTAACGCCAACGCACACTAAATGCATGTAATCTAAAGGAAACTTTGACACAAGTCCTAGAGGCAGTGACTTCAGTAGAGTGTCCTTGACGTGGTGCTCTTCCTGGGCTTTTTGTGCGAAAGCTTCACCTGTTCGTAAAGGTGCATCAGTTTCTAAAAAGACTACTGTGCCATCTACAAACACGCCCTCCTGGGTGTATTTGCCACAGCCAAAGTAGCCCGAGTGCGACTTGATACCCAGAAGAACGCTTTTGCTGGAGCATCACATACAAATCCCCTAATGGTCACCGTGAAGAGCTGCCCAGGAAAAGGGAGCCCATTTGTAAGAAGATTATCAAGGTCATCAATAAATACCGAAAGGTACTCATCGACTGAGGTTGGCTTCAAGTGGCCATTGTAGCAACCAACAAGGAAAACTCCACTACCAGTTATGTCCGGTGTTTTCCCAAGTATTGGCCAAAACTGACTGTGTGTGCTCTTTGTTAGTGGAAGGCCGTCAACATAGACCATGATGCCGAGCCGAGCGGGTACAGACGACATGTCAACCACGTGTGAAAGTAGGGCCCTCAAGCTATCTGCAATGCCAAAATGGCAGTAGGATCCTGGAGGCACGCTCGTGATATTAGCTCTGCGAGGCGTGGCCAAGAAAGTTCTAGCGTCGCCTAGTATGCCCGAGTAGCACGGGTGCTCCTTCGGCTCTTTCGCCAGCGAGGAAAGGGCCCTCTGAGCAGTCTTGTACACGTTACTAAAAAAAAAGTAATCGATTACAATTACTATTACTCTTGGCTAAAAAGTATTCGATTAGATTACTTGATTACTCGACGGCAGAAGTAATTGGACATTACTTAAAGAAGTAATCGTTACTTTTCCGATTACTTTATTGTGTGAAGACACATCTTTAGCGCTCATAATAATGAACTACTTCCAACCTATATTTCACATTTGCACAAGTATTGAAGAAGAAAAACTGGCTCCCTCTTCGTGGTCGTGGCACCGCCACAATGCAGACACAAGCATAGAGTTCGTTTGAAGACGTTTAATGATTTGGGCGTTCGCCAGTTTGTGTGTGTGGGGGGGAGGGGGGAGCGGAGGGTGTTCTAGATCTTGTTAAGCTTGAGCAAGGGTTGTCGCTCAAAGTTTGCGTCGCTCATTTTATTATTCACATGTAGATGAGCTCGCATGTTATACAAAAGAGCAGCAGCTCCAGGATTTCAAACGGATCATGTGTAGTATTCATTAGCGGAAGAGATCGCCCCGACCACTTCACAACTCGAAACATTGCTTGTCACAAAGACCATGGTGCTTCGAGCTCGGTCGGTTCCGTCCGTGCACCGTGGTGTGTGCTACTGAAGTTGAGTGTTTCGGTAGATTGTGTGTTGTCATTGTGCTTGTTTTAGCACCATGTGCTTGCCTGATGAGTGAGCGTCCTTGGTGAGCGTGCGATAATCGTGGATTGTCGACCGCCTCAGGTAACGTAACGTCGACGGGCGCGCGCGCCCGACCGCGTTGCGAAACGTCGGCGAAGCTTTCGCCGAGACAGACCCTGCTCGAATCTCGGCGTCGGCTGGCTGGCGACGGACGTTGCAGAGAAGCCTTCACGCCAGCTCCCGTATTTGCCGTGGTCCCCTTGTCCCGTTGTTGCCCCAGTCGGATCGCTCGGGATGTGTTGTGTGTTCGTCTGCCTGCCGTTAGGGCGTGTGTCATGTAGTGTATCCGCTGGTCAGTTGGTTGAATGTGGTTGTGTTGGTGCACATTTTGCCAATGTCGTTCTGTTTATCCTGTTCTCTCGACTGAGTGAGTCGGCGCGTCGACGTGGACCTGTCTCGGACCCGAGAAAGTGCGTAGGCCTAACGATACGGCCGCGCTTGGTCTAGTTCGACGGGACGGACGTCGGCTTCCCGTTTTAGTGTCAAATCCGTGAGTTCCGACGCAAAATGTGCACAGGACATATTAGCAGCGGGTCGCTGCGGCCTGCGGCACCATCTGCTTCTTTTTCGTTGATGTTACTTTCGTCACGAAATAAATGCTTTTCTACGCAAGTAATCTTCGCTATTTGCTCGATTTTGAACGTACCACAGCGCTGAGATACAAACTGCCGCGAATAGACGCTGACAGACAATTCCTTGCGCAACGTAGCGCGGCCTGGCGAAGTGGACGACGAACACCGTCCGTTTCACGTCGTCCGACGTTACGTTTGTACTTACCTTTACTGTTTTCTGTGCGGGATTATGCTGTAAACGTGAGTGACGTCGCACAGAGGCTCATGAGGGGTGGAGAAATTTGTAATAATTAACGCGAAGTAATAAAAGCAATCGTTGATAAGGAAAAAAAGACATACCCATGAAAAACAGATTTATACAAAATATGGAAACTTTTTCGGATATCCCGACGTTGAGATCAAAATGTTTTCCAGATTATAAAAGACGTCTTGGAGATGTCTTCTGGACGTCTATAAAAATATGTCTTCCAGACAGCTTGACAAGATGTCTTGTAGACGTCTAGGTAAAGACGTCTTATAGACGTCTAGAAAAGTTATCTTGTAGACATCTTGCATAGCCCAAGACGTCTTGAGCTCATTTTAGACCTTTCAAGACGTCTACAAGACGTTCTGTGTTCACAGGGTTCGTAACTGGCCTAGTTTCGAAATTGTATAAACTGTTTTCTGCATAGAAACCTCGTTATTACATGACTCCACAGCCAGGCACGTAGCTAGAGGGTTGGTCCAATTTCCTCCCAAAACTCTTCGTTTTGCTGGAACCTGCTCTCCCCCCTCCCCATCCACAACACTTTTTAATAAAGTCTCTTTCGCCCCCCCCCCCCCCTCCCCGCCCCCCCCGTTTCCCTGTCTGCAGCATATGTAGCCATTTTGAAAACATTTTGAAAAACAGCGCGAATACCACTCGGACAAGAAGGAGGAACACACAGGACGAGGCGCTCGTCCTGTGTGTTCCTCCTTCTTGTCCGTGTGGTATTCGCGCTGTTTTTCAAAATGAATTCATACCAACTCGCCCCACTTTCCATTATATGTAGCCATTATTACACCAAGCTTGAACTGAATTGAGACCAAAGTGGCCGCGGTTTTTAGGTCTGAACAATAGAACATACAGTTTTGACCAGTAAATTTATGCTACCTTGGGAAAAATTACATGCATGTCGCTGCCAGACTTGTAGTCCAATGACTCGGTTGCTGACTTCATTTGGTTAAGACTAAGTGCAGTTACTCTGGTGAAGACAAAGTGCACTTACTCTGTCATTGTATGACATGGGTGTCCTTTACACTCTTCAATGTAATTTTTGTGCACAAAAACGGTGCATCTTACCCTGATTTTGATGTTATGATATAACTCG